CTGTGAGCTCACATTGTCTGCTCGTGTTCAGATGAGAAGGCTGAGCTTGTATTCCTAAGGCAGATCTGGAGCAGTCAGATCCTGCCTCCCCCTTCTGCCCACCCCTAGAAGGGCAGGAGCTCTAGACAGAGAGATTTCACTCCCCTCTGTACAGGACCACAGAGATTTAAGAGGTTACATCCCTAAAGGGTGGTAAACACCCCTCTACACTGGCTGATTCTGTAGAGAGAGAAAAACAACAACAACAACAAACCCAAACCCAACACAAGCTTTTACAATCCATTCAACAAGTTATGAAATCAGCCATCCACAAATCGCTTCCATCCTTCCCAGGGTCTGCAGAGCTTTACAGATCTCTCAAGGTCACAAAAGTGGATTTAAGCCTCTGACAACAGGTCTGATGCAGGGAGCTCAGATCCCAAGGCCCCACAATGGGAGAAAACACTGATCTGTCCTCCCTCCTGGATTTCACGACCACAGTCTGGTGCTGGCACACGGTTTTATGGGATGTTGGCAAAGGGTGACCATAAGCTCAAGTGCCCATGGGGTACGGTAAGTGGTGAGCTCCACTGCAGAGGCACCCAGGGCAAACACAGACCAGGCTTTGCATCTGGGGAACCACTTGGGACTCAACCCAGGTTTGATTTTACCTACCAGAACCTGTGCTTTCACCAAGAAGGGTGCTCAGCACCATGCAGGGTAAGGAGGACGCCATCCTGAGGGGTTTTACCATGGAGCCTTACAGCAGACAGACACATTCAGCACTGCTGAGCCTTGGCACGGGGACACACCACAGTACAGCTCTGCATTTCAGGAGTGAACTGACCGTGCAGAACCTCTGTAACCGCTGACCAGCAACAAGCACGAGGCCAAATCCCAGGGGAAGCCTCCCTGAGCACACCCTCTAGACAAGAGAAGGTTTCAGGTAAAGTCTGGTTCCTGCCCTCACCTAGACAGGAAGATGCCAGGAGCTGTTCTAGTCAAATCCTTTGCTGAGCTGTCAGCTTTATGCACTTGAACGCCCACTGACCTACGTAGAGATGAAGGAGAGAGACCCGCAGTTAAGTGAGTAAAACAAACACCTGAGGCATGCTGACGTACCAGAAAGGAGCAGCTCTGGTTTAGGATCCCTACCAAGAAGTTTCTGTGTTTTACAGAGGGAGTAAGAGGTGTTAATTCCAATTGCACCATGTTCTCCTGCAGCTCAGGAGAGAACAGACACTTGGCTCGGTGCTGCTGTGCAGGCAGCGGGTCAGGAATGGGGGAAGGTGGTTTCTGATCACTTCCAGGAAGAGAAGTTAACACCTCAGAACAACTTCTGCAAAAGGGATCGTCCTCTGACCACAGCTCCTCCTCATCCCTGACAGACTTGCTGTTTCAGCAAGAAATGAAACATTCAAAGACAGGCACCAGCTCCCTCCGGGCTCTCCATGCATTTCAGCTTCTGAGACATTCTGAACCACACCTGCACACATCCTGCAGCCTCCTTTCCTGAGGAGTTGTAGGAGCTCGATGCTAACCCAGCCAGGAGGTTGCACGAGAGCCCAAACCCTCTGAAAAGAGCAGCAGGAAGGTCATCTTCAGCATCACCCACCATCACATTAATGCTCTTCACGTACACTTTGGCAGTGACAGTTTCACCGACTCACTTTAATTAGCACCATTACCTCAACTCCAGAACAAAACCATTAAATACAGAACACACAAGGAACTAAAAGCCACTGGGACCCCCCCCACACACAGCCCGAGCAGATGCAAGATCATGTCACTGGTCAAGAACCACACGCAGGAACGACGACACGATGCTCCCCCCTTGCACATGCTTGAACCCACAGCGCTGAACTTGCTCCACAACACACAGACCAACTCCACCGGGTACTGCTACAAACATGCCAAACCCCAAAACATCCATAAAGCAGCACAAAGTCCTCCCACGGCTCATGAACTTGACTTGCAGGAGTCACTGGCCTGTCGTGCCCCGAAACAGCACGAGCCTTACCTATTTGCAGGTGAGTTGAGGCCTCCGCTGCCCAAGGAAGAAGTGGAGAGGGTGGTTGCGATGGAATCGCTGTTCGCTTCGTCTACTGGCAGGGTCCTGGGCAGGAGATCTGGGCGACCAAGGTGGGAACCTGAGTTGAAGCACAGACTGTTCCATCACCAGCATAAGTGGGATGGTGTGGCACGAGCTCCCACACCAGCCAGGGGTCAGGATCCGTGCTGGATCCCACCTGAGATATCTAAGACACCTGAGCACTGAAGAACCAGGCTCTGTCCCCACACGAGTGCCCAGCCCAGCCTCTCCCCTGGCACAAACCCCACGGGCACAAGCTGTTGGGAAGAGACCAGGCACACGGGACTGTCACGCAGCCTCAGCCCACGTCCCAGGGGGAGCAAGGGCCACGCTGGATGCTTGGACAAGACAAAGATCCCATGAAGATGCACGAGCTAACGATTCCCCGCCTCCACAACCTGCTCTCATCCTGATCAGCTTTTACTGAGACACGAGGTTTATCATCCTGCCCTGAATTTGTTGCAGCAGAAGCTCTGGAAACAGCCACTTTGAAGGGCTCGCTGCTCCTCCAGGCTTTCCTGGTGCTGTCAGAGGCCACTTGGTGTGTACGAGTTTTTGTCCCTGTCTGGTTTCTTACACCCACAGCCCCAGAATACAGTCCCTCCCCTGGCACAACCACAGAACAACGTGGAGGTGTCCTGGACAGCTCAGGAGGCAGCAAGTTTTGAGAATTTAAAAATATTTACAAGCTGAAAAATAACTTCTCTAGGCTTTTTTTGTTTGTTTGTTTGTTTTCAGCCCAGGCACTAACCTTGCTCTACATCCGCCTCTGTCGTAACCTGTGCTTTTGTCTCGCACGACATGTGGAACTGGGAAGGCACTCCTCCTTGACAGCTCCGCCGAGGAACTGCTGTGCCAGACCGGCTCTTCTTAGAAGGAGATGGTTTTACTAAAGGACAAGAGAGAAAAAAAAAAAAAAGAGAAAGCATTTTTCTAACACATTGAGGAAGGAGTAAAAGACTCGATGCAGCAACTTTCCAGTGCCAGTCTGGTGTGAGGGCTGCGCCCTGAAGGAACAAGCTGATGAAACAGCTCCTGGAAGATCCCATCTGTGAGGCAAGAACAATCTAGGAGGAAGGGAGGGGTGACACAGCACTGCAGACTTCCTAAAGCCCTTGCATGCTGTCATCCACCTTCCCCAACCCACAGCTGCTGAGCAGGGAGGGAGAAACCAGAAACCAGGGTGATGGCCACGGGTACAGCTGCACGGAGGTACTCACGTGGTATTTTCTTGAACGCTGTGTTGCACATGAACCGTTGGAACCTTTCGGCGTAGAAGCTGGGTCTGTGCACAGAGACAGTGTCCTAGAAATCCAAGGGACAGAGGTTAACGTGTGCATCTGAATTAATAAGCGATCAAGGAAAATTAATAAGTGATCAAGGTAAACGTGAGCTTCTCTCAGGCTGTCAGCCTTGAAACACGCGCTACGTTGGACTCGGAACAGTCAGGGATTCTCAGAGTTGCTCACAGCTGAAGCTGTGAGGAGCAGAGCAGTGACAGGCAGCAGCCATTGTATACAAAGCAATTGACTCTTGTTAATGAGCAAGCAGATGATCAGTGTTAAAAAAACAACATTTCTGAGAGTACCTAGAAAGTAATACTTGTATATAACAGAGAAAACACACACCCGCCTTGGAAATCCCAGATCCTAAGCCCAGAAGGAGCAAGGACAGCGAGCACAGTTTAAAAAGACACTGCTGCTATTACTAAACACGTTAAAAAGGGGTATTTTTCCACTTACTCCATCGTGGACAAGGGCCTTCCAAGAATGCTCCAGCTTCTTGACAAATCTGACAAAGGAAAGAAAGAAGAGCAATTTTCACACTGTCCTCACAATTTTTCACCGTCTCACAGAATCACAGAATATATTAGGGATTGGAAGGGACCTCCAAAGATCACCCAGTCCAACCCCCCTGCCAGAGCAGGAACCTCAATGAGATCACACAGGAAGGTGTCCAGGCGGGTCTTGAATGTCTCCAGAGAAGGAGACTCCACACCCTCCCTGGGCAGCCTGTCCCAGGGCTCTGGCACCCTCACTGGAAAGAAGTTTCTTCTCCAGTTGAAGCAGAACCTCCTGTGTTCCAGCTCACACCCATTGCCCCTTGTCCTACCATTGGGCATCACTGAGAAGAGCCTGGCTCCATCCTCCTGACATTCACCCTTTACATATTTATAAACATTAATGAGGTCACCCCTCAGTCTCCTCTTCTCCAAGCTAAAGAGCCCCAGCTCCCTCAGCCTTTCCTCAGCAGGGAGATGCTCCACTCCCTTCATCATCTTGGTGGCTCTGTGCTGGACTCTCTCCAGCAGTACCACGCTCACTCCGTCCTGAGCCTGGCTTCTGCCCGCAGAGGCAAGGACACCCCAACCACAGACTCTGGGATGTGCTTCAGCTCTGGGTTCTCTTCATTGTCCCCGTTTTTTAAGACTCTTCCACAGACACCAGGGCTGACTGCACAGTTCACTCTCCCACGGGGAGAGTTTCACAGGCATCATTATCAAGGGCAGTTAACCTGCAATGACATTAACCCTCTGTACATTACATTTTAAATATAAATAGAAGGAAATTTACAGATTACAGATATTTTTCATTTTATAGGGAGAAGTGGTTATGGCCATTTTAAGCCACCACTGTTTTTTTTCCTGCACTGTGCCTGTGTTCAACCACCATGGCACAGAAAAACAACTTCAGGAGTGTAAATCTATTCCAGGAACATAGAATCATAGAATGGTTTGGGTTGGAAGGGACCTTAAAGCTCATCCAGTCCCAACCCCCCTGCCAGCAGCAGGGACACCTTCCACTAGACCAGGTTGCTCAAAGCCTCATCCAACCTGGCCGAGAACACTTCCAGGGAGGAGCAGTCACAGCTTCTCTGGGCAACCTGTTCCAGTGTCTGACCACCCTCACAGTGAAGAACATGATGTAAATATAGTAAGCAAGACCCAGAAGTTGATCCCAAAGTGCCCAACCTCAAGAAAATAGAAAGTAGTTAATTTAAAATAAATAAATAAATAAATATGTGTCTTAACTATTTCTTGAAAGCCAATCTCGACAGCCAAGCAGGGGCAGATGATGCTGGAAGGTGGTTTTCACCCGTAAGTGACACAAAGCTGTTATTTAATAATTAATATTTCTCACCTGTAGGACTGTAACACGTCAATGATGCCGATGTAGAGCAGCAGCCTCTCCCCCTTGGCGTTGCGGGCTGGAATACCTCCCATCCTAGAAGGGGACAGGACACAAACATCAAACAAGGTGTTCTCACACCCCACTGCCTCGCTCACACAGCCCAGCATGGGCCCAATATGATGTGAACTATTTCCCAAGCGTCAACACGCAGGAGGCACGTTCAGGTGACAAACTTGGGGGAGACAAGTCAGAGCAAAATGCTATTTCAGTGTTAGCTAAACCTCAGGAGAACTGACCCTTTTTCCCTCCATGTGACAGTTTTACTGAAGATCAGCATTAATCCAAATTCAGCCAGGAGAGGAGACCAAGTCAAGACCATCTCCCACCATCCACGCTCAGATGGCAGCTGGACTTCATGGGTTGTTAGTCCGATCTAACAAAGCACTCGCTATGCCTTAGAGCTGGATGGAAATAACTAACTGAAGCCACCAAGAAACAGTGGGCAGAGAACTCTCAAGTGCTACCCAGAAGGCAAGAAAAAAAAATTTATGCATTAAGGAAAGGAAATCAAAGAGAAAAGCACCAAATTTGCCATTGAGACCTCTCTGCCCTGCATGACAGCAATCCTGTCCAGCCCAGGCTGCGTCGCCGTTAGCCAAGCTTGGGTTTATACCCCTCACTCCTCACAGTATCTCACTGGGAACAGTGACACCGATGCAGACTTACTGGTCATCTGTTTCTATGGTGCCACCTCGCCGGGCCTCTCCTTGGATGGATTCCATAGCTGTGGAGTAGAGGGCTTTCTGGGCAGCGGGTCGTCGCGTATCGGCCTGGGACGTCCCGTCTGCCATCGCGTGCTCTCTCTGTGCCAGATCCATGTTATGGATTGCAACAAGCAAACTGTAATCCATGATTTTAAAGCTTTGCAGGACCTGGAAAGAAAGTCAAACAAATGCTCACTGATTATTGCAAGCCCAGTGAAACTGTCAGAGCGGCCGTTTGCAGAAGCGTACTCAGCATTTGCGCCTGGAGCCCCGAGCGTATCGAGGGGATGGTTTTTAATCCACAGCTCGTACACAGTCAGCTCATCTACAGTGGCCAACAGGAGTTAGAGGAAAACCATCCATGCTCCTCCTGTGCAGACGGGGACCCAAGCCAGGGAGAGCACTGACTTGTGCACGGCCACCCAAAGGCACTTGACAACTTGACGAGACTGGACTCAGCCAAGTATCCCACCCCTCTCGCCAGATCCTGCCCTGCTCCAAAGCTCCACCTTGGCAGAGGGTGCTTCCTTCACCTCTAGCAGCAGTGCTGGGTTTAATTCAAGTTGGAAGTACTGAACACAAGGTCCTGCTTCTTGTCCACACCACCACCAAAAAAAACAAAACCAAAGATTCCTGAAATCAACAGGCAGAGGTGGCAGCTGCCATCTCCTTCTTGTGGGAAAGGCTTAGAATCATAGAATCATAGAATGGTTTGGGTTGGAAGGGACCTTAAAGCTCATCCAGTTCCAACCCCCCTGCCAGCAGCAGGGACACCTTCCACTAGACCAGGTTGCTCAAAGCCTCATCCAGCCTGGCCACAAACACTTCCAGGGAGGAGCAGCCACAGCTTCTCTGGGCAACCTGGGACACTGTCTGACCACCCTCACAGTGAAGAACTTCTTCCTAATATCTCATCTAAACCTCCCCTCTTTCAGCTTAAACCCATTTCCCCTTGTTTTGTCATTAACTGCCCTTATGAAAAGTCCCTCCCCAGCTTTCCTGGAGCCCCTTCAGGTACTGGGAGGCCACTATAAGATCTCCCCAGAAAAAAGGAAAGAACTCTCCTGTCTTCCACTTACCAAACAGTCTCTCTGTAACGTTTTACACAGAGCATTATACATGTCAGAGTCTAAGAAGAGGCCATCAGGGATGTCCTGCATAAAATCCAAGTCCTTGTACGTTGGGAAGACCTTCTCTCGCTCCTTCTGGGACGCTCGGCGCTTGTAGGTGGAGCCCTTCAGGTCGTATTTCAGGTGCATTTTGACAGAGCGTGGCAGCAGGTTGTTCATCACCACGATGCGAATGTTTTTACCCCCGGCCTGGACACAGTACAAGCCGTAAAACTTTGGCAGCAACGTCCTTGGGTTCTGGTTCAAATTCTGAAACATCAAAGACACAGAAATACTTTCAAAGCCATTCTAGTTATTCACACAACAGTTAGAGGAGTTATTTGCTCCTTCCTGTGCTTCTCTATCGCAACGGAGCTGGGAATGATTCAAAGCCATCGCCAAAGCTCTGAGACAAGGGCAGGTGAACCCAGGGAACAGATGGGTGATGCCCACAGTGGTTAATAACCTCTCTGCAAAGCTGAATGGCTCAGAGGAAGACTGTAGGAAGGAGTTTGCTGCTTTTTCACGCAGAAGCTAAGCTGGGGAGGCTTCAGAGCAAAAGCAGATCTTGTGCTTAGCCTTCTTAAATTTGGTGCTTAGGTCAAGCTAAATACATCGGGATAGAGATGGATCTAAACTCTCGTGGCTGCAGAAGACACTGGATGGAATTCTGAAGAAAAACAATGTGTTTCTGGGATATAATCACAGTAAAAATATTTGTGGGTTCAGAAGCAGTTTAAGGAATTAAAACTAGTGACCTCAACAGCATCAAGAGTCCTCAGGCACTTCTACAAGGCAGTACTACCCCATGGCAAAGTTCCCTTTCACAGAGGTGGTTTGTAAAGATCAGGCTGGACACAAACACGAGCAGTGAGGTCACACACACATTGTGTTCAGGGTGGGATCTGATTTTGCTCCAGAACCTAAAAAGCCTTTTTTGCTATAACCACCTTCATAAAATTAACACTCAAAGCTGTTGCTGCTTCTACAGCTAGAAACTAAAGTCAGAGTTCTTCAACTCTTTATCTCTGTGGACACAACCAAGCATCGTCCTGGGAAGGTCAACACAAGTGCAGGACAAAGCCCCACGGGTGAGATGCCGCACAGCACAGAAGCAAGGAACACTTTACAGCTGATCAGGAAGCAGCCAGAGACCTTCCAAAAGAGTCTGAGTCACAAAGTGCAACCCAAGACCCCCGAGCAGCTCGCCAGGCTCAGGATACCCCAGTGGCTTGTGTTAGGCTGTGACTTTGTCACTGGACAGTTGAGACAGAAGCTGCTGCTCGGCTTGGGCGCAAATCAAACCTCCACTCACACCCACCAGGCAGCACACAGCAATCTCTGTCACACTTGGTCTCTAGCTTGCAGAGAAAGCCTCACCCAAGTGACTCACCATGTAGTAGCCAGGCAGCAGCTTCTGTAAGAACTCAGCCTCTTTGTGCTGAACC